CCCCCGTCTCTCTCTCTCCGACCCAGGCCACACATGCGCCCTCGTGATCGGCGAGTTATTCGTCCCAATAACCCCGTCGAGTCGTGCAGAACGCCTCCTACCCCTCCCTGCTCCCGCCCCCTGCTCCTCCTGGCCGGGGCCGGCGGAGCGTCGCCATGGATACGGGATGGATGAGTTGGACCTCCCCGCACGTCCTGCCGACTTCGGGCTTTGAATCCCCGTCCTGGAGGCTCTCCAGGCGAGGCGGGGCGAGGCGGGGCGCGGTGGAGCGTCCGCCACGGAACGCCATCGCTCACCCCTCGCACTGCTCGCGCTCGCCCGTCCCGTCTGGTCGGCTTTTTGACTGATATTGGCAATGACGCTCGCGGTAACCAAAGCCCTCTGCCTCCCGCCTCACCCGAGTCCCGCCTCCCGAGGCGCGGGGAATTCGAACGTCGCTCTGTGCGCGCCCCGAGACTCTTGGTGACCCCTTCGTCACCCCCCACCGCCACCGTGCTTAGCATTCTGGCACTGAAGGATGCAATCAGTCAGCGCAGGCTGCGGCGCCTTTTCTTTGGGAGAGGGGGAAGGAGGAAGGGAGAGAGCGAAAGAGTGAGTGAAGGGAGAGAGCGAAAGAGTGAGTAACCAGCAGTTCCCTTCCACCTGGAGTTGGAGCGTGCAGAAAGAGGTATGTGCTTGTAGAGTAGACACGGGAGGGGGAGCATTAAAAATTCGTGAGTGTTTTCTAAATTTGTTTTTCACAGTTGTTTTTTGTGGCCTACTTTGTGTGATGTTGTCGAGATTTTGTGCTTTCGGGTGCATGACCCCCAAGGCAGAGGTAGGTCGGTGTCACGCGCGGTGTGTGGGGGTGGCAGCTGTCTAGGTGCAGCCGAGCAGCTGACTGGAGGGTGCTGCTGTGGGGAGGTCCATGACAGGAGCCTGCCGCCGCCGCCGACGGGTCGACAATTGAATCACTGGACCAGGCCAGGGGCAGGCCGAGCGGGGCGGAGCGGGGCAGAGCGGGGCGGGCATCTACTGTACTTCCTTCCATCGCGACTTTTGGCTCGCGTGGGAGAGACAGCTGGACCCCCCTCCCCTTACACGTCCCCTGTCTCGGTCTCTCTCTCACTCACTCTCTCACTCACTCTCTCTCCCCCCCCC